GTCCTTTGAAAGGGTTACAAAGTTCAAATATCTGGGAACAACAATAACAAATCAAAATGACACTCATGAGGAAGTTAGGAGGAGATTAAATTCTGGAAATGCTTGCTACTTTTCAGTTCAAAATATTTTGTCTTCCCGTCTGATTTCTAAGAACCTGAAAATTAAAGTATACAAAACAATAATCTTGCCTATTGTTTTGTATGGGTGCGAAAATGGTCTCTCACTCAGAGGGAGGAACACAGATTGCAGGTGTTGAGGAGGATATTTGGGCCTAAGAGGGAAGACGATGGGGCATGGAGAAAACTGCATAATGATGAGCTTAAAAATCTATACTGCTCCCCCAGTATTGTCAGGGTGATTAAGTCGAGAAGAATGAGATGGGCTGGGCATGTAGCTCGCATGGATGGGACAAGAGGTGTGCACCGGGTACTGGTTGGGAAACCTGAAGGGAAGAGACCGCTGGGGAGACCTAAACATAGATGGGAGGATAATATCAGGCGGGATCTATGGGAGATAGGAGTTGAAGGAGACTGGATTTTGTTGGCCCAGGACAGAGTCCGGTGGAGTGCTTTGGTTAATTCGGTGATGAACCTTCGGGTTTGGTAAGCCATCTAGTTAGTTAGTTATACCTTAGTCATAAAGAAATTTTGAAAAGCAAATCCCAAGTATTACATGGCCATTATATATATGACTTTTCACATAATAATATAAAAATTAGGTAAAGCACATTATAACAATTTTCACCTGCACTGTAGACTTCCTTTATTATTACAGAACATCTGTTTTGGATTATTGTTGAATTGTAACAGTGCTATTGTTATTTAGAATTTTTTTCTGTATGTGTGTATAAGTCGCTACCTTGTTCCTCACATCTTTGGCATGAATTTTACCTGCATGTGTAAAATATTTCAGAACATATTAAATTTATGTTGTTGAAATCAAAATGAGTGTTTTGTATGAAGGAAAGAAATAGGTTTTGTTTTTGCTAAGGTTGAAACAATTTTGTTGCTTGTATATTTATGGCTTTAAGTCAGTGACAGACTTGCTGGAATTTGTCTTTCAGTTAACCTGCAGGAGCAATCAAATCTAAATATAACAGACCCATCAGAATGCAAGTACATGATCATTTTAATTTCAGTTCAGTTCAGTTTAAATAAAATAAAATTAGCATCTTTCTTAAAAATTATGGAACATGTCTGCTTGTAATATCCTTATTGTTATGTTCTTTGTTAGACAATCAGATCAAAGCTCATTCTCTCAAGTGTAGTGGTTTAGCAGAATGCTAGTGTGACCCAGTCAGCTGGGTAATGCTTAAGCTGTGGTGCACCAAAGATAAAAGTTAAACCTACCCCAGACATTGGATAGTGTCCAGTATAAATACAGTGTATCAGAGCAATGTTGTCTAACATAGTAGTTGTTCTTGTTGTTACTAAGGGTATATGGTGCATGACTTAGTCATTTTAGTAGTGTATATAGTTTTGTTTTGTAGAGAAAAAAAATTAAAGTCAATTGATGGAGTAATTATAACATCCATTTATAACATCATTGTGTATTATTCAGTGATTTCTGAACTTTTACCTTTTCTATGAAGTATTTTAATAGCAAGTACAAACATTTTCATGTTTCTAAACTCATCGAGTATGTGACTGCAGTAATTGTAGGCAGTTTACTAGTAAAAGGTACCAGAATTATGTGCATGCTGTCTTCTGGTCAGTTACTACATCAGAGGCCTAGGGAGTAAGATCAAATGAACACAATAATAACCAACTTGTCTTCAGTGCCTTGCTTCCAAATTTTTAATTTTGGAAAGAGTAGGCAGGAGTGGCCATTGAAACTTGAAAGTATGTTTGTTAATTGCCATGTTGGTATTTTTCAGCACACAAAAAAAGGTTTAATTCAAAAGCAGTAGCCTCTGGCCATTCTATGTGTCATTCCAGTTTATCTGTGCAAATCTGAGATGCAAATAGATCACTTTTACAGTGACTGTAATGCCACTTTCTTCTTTATAATACAATAACTCTAACAAAACATAACTATGTTTTATAGATCCTGTTTTGGTTTTTCTTTGCTTTCTGCTGTATGTGTTTTGTTTCTTTGTTTGTTATAATGTTAAATTTTTTTGTTTTTCCCAAGACACACTTCCATTTGGAGCCAGATTCCATCGTGTGTTTGACACAAAGTGAGGGTGCAAAAGATACAAGAAAAAAGTCCAAGGACCGTGAACGTCGAAAAAGTATTATCCAAGCTGTTTCAGACTTCTTCCATAAAAAGAAGGAGTCTTCTAGAAGTCCATCCCCACCCAAAATACCTCCGGGAAGCAGTCATTCTGCTAAAGATAAATTTTCAAGATTCCGGTTAAATAAACATAAGGATAAAGGGAAAGTGAGTAAAACTGCACATTCATATTTTATGAAAGAATTTAATGTATGTCATAGTTTTAAATTTTTCTTTGACAGAATGTATAAAACAATAAATAATTCCACTTATGCTGATTAGGCTTTTTTAAATACATGTTCTTATTAAACAGCAATTTTTTATGTGGAAAGAAAGTATGTCTGTTGATGTTATGAGAGTGTATGACCATTAACCAGCAATGACTTACGTTGTGAGGTGGTGTTGTCATTATTGGAATACTCATCATTTGCTCTTCTCCATGCATTGTTTGCTAGAGTTACCATGTTTATGGCTGGATGACAGCTTTTTTTTGTGGCCCTCACACTAGCCAGCAGAACAGCTATGCCAGATGTTAAAACTTGTAGTTAATTTATTTCTTGGTCATTATCAGTAATTGATGACTATGTGTTTCGAAGTTTGCAGTTGAAATTCCACTGGCGTTCATTGTAAGATCCACCAGAGAGAAAATTATTAATACTAATCCAAAAATTCTAATTCAAATTTTAGGATAATCATCTTTTTTAGAGAGCCATGTCTGTATGTTTTCTCCATAGTGGTTGTGCCAATGGTATATTCACCATGCCAGTGAAGAAAAATAACCTCAGGAATTGCTACTCATACTGTGATTCTAGTAGTATGACATGCTTAGTTGATACAGAGGACACACAGTTGTATCTGTGATCATAACCATTCAGCTTAAAGGCTGCTGCATTAGACCACATAATCATGTACACAAAGCTTGACTTACTGCATGTCTGTGTCAGCAATACGTGAGGCTTGAACCATCCAGTACTACACAGTGAACAACACTTGCTGCCAACTCACCATGTTATCACATGGAAGAACTTTCTGTTACTGTTACTGGTACAGATATGTAGATAATGCCTTTGTTGTTTAGGCGTATGGAAAAGAAGAGCTCCAGGGTTTAAAAAAGTTATAAAGTTTCCACTCTAACATCAACTTCACAATGGAAGTCGAACAAAACAGTATACTCTCCTTCTTAGATGTCCTGGTAAGCAGAAGACAGATGACTCATGGAGTCATACCATATACAGGAACCCTACACACACACACACACACACACACCAGTATCTCCACGCAAAGTCTGCACACAGTCTGGCACAGAAGCAGGCAGTACTTAAGACAATGGTTTACTGGGCAAGGACTATATGTGATCCAGAGAGTCTCCATAGCGATATTGACTACCTAAAAAAGACGTTCAAACAGAACAGATATAGCAAGTGTGCCATGGCTACAAGACAGAGGTCGCAGACACAGAAGGAGAGACTGGTAGGCACAGTGATGATGATAAACTAGGCTACTGAGATCAAGCTTTTACCCAGGAACTTTAACAGGGAAGGAGGCTTCACACTTGCTCATTCCTGGGATCCATTGATCAACATAATCAAACAGTTCAGAGATCCACCATTCAAAAGAAAAGCTCAAGTGAAGGAAGCGATTGACTCTTACCACTAGCCCTCCCATTGGCTTGCACTTAGATCTGTGCACTAGCAAAAGGCAGGTATATATGTGTTGCTTACAACACACAGTATGAGTAGCGTTGAGGATGAAGACAGAGATGGTCCTCAAAACATCAGCAAGTTTTAATCATCTGACATGGCTGATGGCCCAAGAAGATTTTATTTATGACTAATAAAGCTGCAACTCTACTTCAGATTATATTATGCCCACTTTTTAGTCATTGCACATTTTAAAAAATTACGTCTTAAATGTGTGTCTTTTGCAGAAGGTGTTTAGGATTCCCATCCCTTTGTACTACTACATTTATAAATTATAACCCATTATAGTAGTACTGTTTATATTATTGTGCATCTTCTCCAACAGTTGTGATTCTAAAATGTCCTTTCAAATCTGCTAGTATGAAGGTTTTGCACTTATTACACATGATACCTTACTTTATGCCTCGTGTTTCTTTTAATTTTAAGTTTCAGAAATGGTATTTTATTGTTAATAGAGTAATCACATGTAAAACATAGCCTTTTTAAATAGTATTGACTTGTAGAATGAGATAAAAATGAAATACCCACACTTTAGGATTGCATAAAGTAAAGATTCACAATTACTGTTTTTATTTAAAAAAAATGATGAATCTAATATGACACATCACACCATGCAACAACTACAGGATGACTACTTAAAGAGAATATTTGAACATATCTTCCAGTGATTGTTTGTTATTTATCCTGTTTGTATATTCATTTTCTAAGCCCACAGTAGCACCAAAGAACACCATACTTATATACAATAATCAACAGTATCTAAAGCATTATGACATGAATATGAAAGAACTGTTGAACTTCTTACAGCCCTGAAGACATAAAAGATCTTAGTTTGGTTTTTTACAAGACACATTACCATGAACATTTAGGTTTGATCAGTAACACCACATGGAGGCAATATATTTCAGCTTTAATAGGATTTGAGGTTCTCACAGCAGCAAATATGAAGATGGTTATCTTTTGTGTTGTAGTACTGTCCTGATGATGGAGGTAGCAATTACCTCTGAAATGTTGGTGAACTTTTACCTGACTACATGGCACTACAACGCAGAAGATAGCAATCTTCATATTTCACCTTTGTTTGAAAAAATGTAAGATTTATTGCTGAGTATCACTCTTCAGCTGTATTGAAACATGGATTTATTGTTTACCTAGTTAGGTATTTAATGCCTTCCCAATTTTTTTTAGGTGAACATCCTGTGGATTGTGTTTGGAACAACTTTAGTTTTTATTAATTTAACTTTCAGTATATGCAGTATTCTGAATAAAGAATGTCTGCACAAAAATTTTGTACCATGTTGACTTCTGGTCAACAAATTATTTTTGAAAGGATGATAAGAGATACGTTATATTAAAGTTAAATGTAATGATTTCTTCACCATGGTGCATGTTTGGGATATAAATTTTGGCATTAAGAACTGTTAAAAAATAGAGCATAACTTTGAGCAACTAGTCATTGCCTGTTTGAAGTTAACTATATTTAGTTACAATGTTGTCAGTCACGGTTGTCTTATTTGAGCATTTCCACTGTATGGCTACATGATTACTTTCCCCCTCTTCCCTCAGTCACCAGTTGTTTTTCATGATCTGTAATAAAAATTGGTTGTTCATATAAGAAAAAATCTAATTCATTCCGTGTTATATACAGGTATTTCAAAAAGATGTATACACACAGGGTTAATATTCCGTATTGTAATGTGTATACATCTGTTTGGGACACCTGTATATATTGGAATACACAATTCTTTGATCACAAAGCATAATTTGTTGAATTTTGGTGGAAAAACTGTGCATGACACTTGGCATATTGCATTATATTGCTTTCTCACCATAAGTTTGCTACCAGAATGTTGTTTGAATTATATTAATTAATACATATGTTTTTGGAAGAAGTCATTTCTCGTTCTGCATTATATTTGTGTGTTGAGGAATTTTCAGTGTTTCCATATGTACAATACACAGTGCAGTGCTTGTAGTATATTTTTATTTAAGATAAAAATGACTGGTACATTCAGATATCTTTTTTCAGTCAGAGAAAATCTCGTGGTCGGATGACTCAGATGTAAGCATTATTTCATTATTTTTCTTCTTGATTGTAAAGGTCGCATGGAAGTATTAGTATTTTTAAAATTTCTGTTTGGGTAGTTCTCATTGGATTTGTTCAGATAACCAAACTATAGTACTGGTGAGATAATTTGAAATGCATGATGTGTTATGTATAGTATCCATTATTTTCAGAAGTATGTATGAATATCTTTTGATACTGTAACTACATATATGATTCTACCTCTGACATTATGTCTACAATATGATCTTTTATTTATTTTTGTTTACATACTACATTTGGTTGTACGGAGGTATGTTTTGCACCATTTCTCATATACTTTCAAATTCACTTGCACTATGCTGTAGAATGTATGATAGATTCCAACCTTATTGCATATGTTTTGTGAGTATGTTATACCAATCAAAACTCTCACCTGAAGAAATAAGTAGTTCCTAAAACTTTACATTTAGTCTAAACTTATTTACCCATGCACCATGCATTTTGGCTTCCATGCAATAACAATGAACCTGTGGAGGCTTCTGATTAAAGTAAAAGTATTATATTTACTTTTGTAAAATTCATTTATAACCCAATGATGTCATTAGAATGTGAATTGTGGTCTTTTTCCTCTAAAACATTGGCAGCCACTTACATGACTGTGCACTGTGGCACCCGAGAAAGTCACAGTCCACATTTTTACTGCCATGAAAACCTCAAATCTCACATGTATATTAAAATATTCTTAATTAAGGCCCATTTTACACCTGAGCTTGGCAATGTTTTAAGTGTAATAAATGGAATATATGTTCATGTTATGTATACAGCAGGAGAAAGCCCCACTGGTGCCAACTGATAAGCAGTCCAAAAGTGTTGGTGAGTCTACTAGCAAGCGTCTGGGTTTTATTGCCACTGATGGAGCAACTCCACCACCAATTCCACCACCCCCTGTCAACTGTCAATATATTGGAATACACAATTCTTTGATCACAAAGCATAATTTGTTGAATTTTGGTGGAAAAACTGTGCATGACACTTGGCATATTGCATTATATTGCTTTCTCACCATAAGTTTGCTACCAGAATGTTGTTTGAATTATATTAATTAATACATATGTTTTTGGAAGAAGTCATTTCTCGTTCTGCATTATATTTGTGTGTTGAGGAATTTTCAGTGTTTCCATATGTACAATACACAGTGCAGTGCTTGTAGTATATTTTTATTTAAGATAAAAATGACTGGTACATTCAGATATCTTTTTTCAGTCAGAGAAAATCTCGTGGTCGGATGACTCAGATGTAAGCATTATTTCATTATTTTTCTTCTTGATTGTAAAGGTCGCATGGAAGTATTAGTATTTTTAAAATTTCTGTTTGGGTAGTTCTCATTGGATTTGTTCAGATAACCAAACTATAGTACTGGTGAGATAATTTGAAATGCATGATGTGTTATGTATAGTATCCATTATTTTCAGAAGTATGTATGAATATCTTTTGATACTGTAACTACATATATGATTCTACCTCTGACATTATGTCTACAATATGATCTTTTATTTATTTTTGTTTACATACTACATTTGGTTGTACGGAGGTATGTTTTGCACCATTTCTCATATACTTTCAAATTCACTTGCACTATGCTGTAGAATGTATGATAGATTCCAACCTTATTGCATATGTTTTGTGAGTATGTTATACCAATCAAAACTCTCACCTGAAGAAATAAGTAGTTCCTAAAACTTTACATTTAGTCTAAACTTATTTACCCATGCACCATGCATTTTGGCTTCCATGCAATAACAATGAACCTGTGGAGGCTTCTGATTAAAGTAAAAGTATTATATTTACTTTTGTAAAATTCATTTATAACCCAATGATGTCATTAGAATGTGAATTGTGGTCTTTTTCCTCTAAAACATTGGCAGCCACTTACATGACTGTGCACTGTGGCACCCGAGAAAGTCACAGTCCACATTTTTACTGCCATGAAAACCTCAAATCTCACATGTATATTAAAATATTCTTAATTAAGGCCCATTTTACACCTGAGCTTGGCAATGTTTTAAGTGTAATAAATGGAATATATGTTCATGTTATGTATACAGCAGGAGAAAGCCCCACTGGTGCCAACTGATAAGCAGTCCAAAAGTGTTGGTGAGTCTACTAGCAAGCGTCTGGGTTTTATTGCCACTGATGGAGCAACTCCACCACCAATTCCACCACCCCCTGTCAACTGTCAGGGTGGATCTATTCCAAGAGTCTCAGGTTTGTCTGGTGTTTTGCCAAAAATTTTATAATCACTGTTTATAGGGGAGAGATGGGTAGCTCAGGCAGTATAGTGACTGACTGTGGGCTGGACAATCAGGGTTCGATCTCTGACAAGGGACAGAGGATTTACTTCTATCCTGTGCATTTGTACCAGCTCTGGGGCCTGCCTAGCCTACAGTGGATACCAGGGGTCCCTTCCCCAGGGATAAATTGTGCCTGGGGCATGATGCTGACTACTCACCCCCATCTAGAGCTGAGGTTGAAAATGAATAGGAGCTATATGTTTTCTCCCCTCGAGCGCCTACATGGTGCATAGGGGGATAGCTTTACTTTTTTTTAACATACTGTTTTATATGTCAAAAGTTTTCCTTATATTAAAAAAATATGTGAGTGTGAAAGCAATTCAAAATTTATTGCTTACAAGCTTGTTGTTTGTATGAAGATATCATTTAGCTTATAGCATCTGTCATTTTCTCAAGCATTGTGCTGTAAAGTACTTTATTTATTTTTCATAATATTAGCATTAGTAGATATATTGTGAATGTGAAAGAAAGTCCCTTTAGCAGTTATTTTATCACCACAAATTCCTTTCATTTGCAAGTTTTAGAAGGGATTCCAATATGTAGTAATCATTGTAGTCTTATGAAAGTGTAATACAGGGCTAAGTATATTTGGTCCCTTTAGAAGACAGTTACTCAGAGCCAGAAGAAGACTCACATGCCACAGTCCTCTCTACTCCTACACATGACACAGCATCATCTGTAGATGGGACTGCAGCAAGCTTTAACAGGCGACATTCAAGGATGAATCGACGCATGGCTCGCCAAGTTCAACTTAAAAGGTAACATTTTTGCTTTCGTTATTGCGGCAAGAGCTGAGCTGTGATTTGCTTGTACAAGAAGTGCGTCGTGGAGTAGATAATTTTGTGCTGGTAATTTAAAGTAATGTGCCTTACATTACATTACCTTACCTTACCTTACATTACATTATTTTACATTATATTCAGCTACCACAGAGCCATCTTAAGCGTAACTAATTCAAGTTGATTAAGCAATGTCTTAATCAAACTTATCTAAATTGTAAAGCATGTATAAAGGAAATATTTAGAATAAAACCAATACATAAACTTCCTTTCCGTATAGATGTATTTACGTCAAATTCTCCGGAACCGTGGTTCCACTGACAACTTTTTTCTATAAAATATACATTTTGTCTTGTCATCAGTGAAGGTGTATTTTGTTGCAAGTAATTGGTGTTTTAATTAGAGTTATATTCATACCTAGGTTACGAATGGCTCAAGAAATTCAACGTCAACTGGAAGAACTGGAGGTCAAACAGAGAGAATTGGAGCAGAGAGGAGTCAGTGTGGAGAAAGCACTGAGAGGAGAAGGCACAAGTACATTTATTTTATTGTAACTGTGAATATCAAAAGGTTGACAAGGAATGTTTGCAGTATATAGCTCTGTTCTAAATTTGTATATGCAGTAGACATCAAGTTAGTTCTAAATGTTCATATGTCTGGATCTTACAGTGGATTGCTACTCACCAGCTGCTTAGGGGCAACAAACAAGTGTGTGAAACTGTAGGATTTCTTTTGTGGAGGGTGGTAGCAGGCCTCCCAACCAATACCCTGTAAACACCCCTCCCCTTCTCCATGCATGCTGCATGTCCTGCCCACTTCATCCTCCTCGATTTAATCGCTCAACAATATCAGGTGAATACAGGCCGTGAAGCTTATTATTATGCAGTTTTCTCCATGATCCTTCTTCCTCCCTTTGGGTCCAAATATCCTTCTTAACACGCTGTTCTCAGAGACCCTTGATCTATGTTCCTCCCTCAAAGCGAGAGACCAAGTCTTGCACCGATACAGCACAACTATGGATAAATAAAATTAAACTTATTATTAAAGAGTTTTCTTTTGTTAATGTAAACAACACTGACTAAAGCTCTAATGAGAGCTGTTCTTCTAAAAGAATGGTTATATGCATTGTTCTCCCAGGTATTTAATTTGTAGACCTCTGTATATAATCAGATCAGTTCTCTAACTGAAAGTGAATCAGATCATACTGAGATGTGGAGATTTACATAGCCAGGGAATCCTTTCTGTTGTAAAGTGTGACTAATGTCTCTTAATTGCCACATAAAATGATGATAATGGTATTTAAATTATGATGAAAGGTAAGATGCAGTTCATTGGTACCCTTTAAATGTGGCTCTATGATTATGAGGATTTCTATACCAATGATAGGAATGTAAACTTTAATATCTGCACATCTTTGTGTTATTTAATTAGATCAGTGTGAAATGTGGTTAATTAAGTTATAGAATCTAATCAGCAGCTTTGGCATATGATTTTAGATGCTGAATGTAAAGAAGAATCAGAACTGTTGAGAGAATGGTTTGATTTGATGAGAGAACGCACCGAATTACGACGCTATGAGCGAGAATTGATGGTTAGAGCTCAGGAAATGGAGTTAGAAGACCGACATGCACGACTTCAGCAAGAACTTCGAGATAGGATGAGCAAAGATGGTGAGAAAAGTACTGTACTTTCAGTGTTTGGTCATGTGTTTGGCTGGATGTCAGAAACAAGTTGCTAATGCTTGTAAATATTTGAGTTCCAACATATGTAGGTTAAGGGAGAATTAGGCACTACATTATTTGAAACAGCAAATATTATATTTACATACATAAGTAAAGTAAGTGGCAGTTTTAAGGCCAGTTGAAATACGAATATTGTGGTTTAGTGCATGTATGATATTTCTTTTAGACGATGGAACATGTTATGACCATTTGCACTCCTCTAACCAGCTGAAACTGAAAGATAACATAATATAAGACCTACCACTCACCATCAAAGACACAACTTACCAGCTTCATAACTTCACCCCCATTGTATTGTGTAAGGCTGGAATCAATTAGTATGTTTTATTAAGAGGCTCTGCCACAACTGGCTTATAACCCTAAGTCCTGTTATTAAAGTGAAGTGTTGTATTTTTACCCATTTAGTTTCATAAAGAGGGCATTACAAGGCTAAACAATTGTTGCCAACTACACTAAACACAATCAAATCTGGTAGAAGTGAAATCTAAATAGATTTATGTGATACGGAGTGGGAGTTCCCCAAGGGTCAATTTTAGGGCCCTTGCTTTTTATAATATACATAAATGACCTTCATCCAACAATAAAAAAAATACTTTAACAGAACCCATAATATTTGCTGATGACACAAGTGTCATAATTTCTAATAAAAATTTTGATGATTTGTGTTCAACATCAAACATAGTTCTGTATCATATGAGTAAATGGTTTACTGCTAACAAGCTGGCTCTAAATCTAGATAAAACGAATATAATAAAATTTATAACAAATAACTCGCCACAATACGCTTTAAGTATTGGTTATAATGGGAAGTACAGGTAAACCTCGATTTGCGCCGATTCAGAGTAATGCAGCTTTTGAAACCAGCAAGTCAAAAAGTGAAAAAAAAAAAAA